TTTTGAATATTTCTTTTATATTATAATTATTTTATTTGATGATAATTTAAAAATATTCTTATTTTTTTTATTGTATAAAAATCATATTAATTTACTTAATATAGATATATAATTTTATAAAAAATTAGTAGGTTAGAAGATACTTTGATATATTCATAAAAAAATCTATAATTAATAAATACTCATATATATATATATATATATATATATATATATAATCTTAATTTATATATAATATAATTTTAAACACTTATAGTTTATTTTTATAATTTATTGAGGCAACTACTTGATTGACATCTCCTTCTTAGTACATGGATATCTTTTTGTATATAGACCTTTCTAAAACTAGTTAATTTTTATTTTAAGTTATGATTTTTAAATTACAAATCTTATAGTATATACACTGTATTATCATCGAAACTTGATATATCCCTATCCATTTATAATTTGAAGTCTTATATTATCTAAATCTTTATTTCTTTTGTAATTAAATATATTGAGACATCAATTTTTTGAATATGGAAAATATGATTTTTTTTTTTATAATATATTAATATTATTATTAAATCTTTTAAATTACAAAATATAAAAATCTGATTTAAAATCAAAACCAATCATGTTTTATAAAGCTATATATGTAGAGAGGTGTCTACACAATAAAAAGAGACATGTCTATTTAATTACTTTTTTAATAAAATTTTTTTAACCTTATAATTTTAACTACTATGACATACTAAAATATCATATATATATATATATATATATATATATATATGTAATTCAAGCTATTTCTAAAATACTAATTTAAACAAAAAATATATATATAAAAATTTAATATAAAATATTTTAAAGTAATTTTATACTTATAAATGTATATATATATATATATATATATATATATATATATATATATATACTCTTAGATATTTTTTATTTTCAAATTTTATATTTAAAAATTAGTTATATTTAATTTGTATTTATAAATAATTACTAATAAACAAAAATATATAAAATTTGATTTAAATCTTTGGTTTTTTTAGCATCACTACTATATTTCTTCTTTTAATTTTTTTAGTTTTTTAATTTTATATATTTTTATTAATTTATAAATTTTAAATATATATATATATCTATTAAATTATAATAATATAGAAAATGATAAATATCTATAAAAGATTCTAAGTTGAATTTAGAAAAGACTTATAATTTTTAATATCTTTAATGAAACAACTCAAGGAAAGGAGAATCCTTCTTTTAATTTTTGTTAAATTTTTATTTTATATATTTTTTTTAATTTAATATATATACATATATATATATATATATATATATATATATATATATATATATATGTATATATATTAAATTATAAATGATATTATAATAATATAGAAAATAATACTTATCTATAAAAGTTTCTAAGTTGAATTTGGAAAAGACTTATAATTTTTCATATCTTTAATAAAACAACTCAAGGAAAGGGGAATCAATGGAATAAACAAGAAGAAACAAAAACCATCTTTGATTGGTTGCATCTTTTATTGTTTTTATCAAAAGTGAAGCAAAACTAGAGTTCAAAGGGCCTTTATAAAACTCGTATTGAACAAGATAACTTAAAGTGATTTTTGAGAGTGATTTTTGATTTTTGAGAATCATATAGACATAACTTTGAGTGATTTTTTTGACTAAATTGACTAATTTTTTTTCTCTCCATGAATCAATTTAGTTATAGAATTTTATTTAGATTTTGTTACATTGAGCAATATTTTAAATTTTTTTATGTAGAATTAAAAGTACTCAACTTTGAAAGGTGTTTAGCAATATTGATGGTTGTACCATTTTTTCTTATATGTCGTGTATGGAAAGTTTTGTGGAAATTTAACGGAATATAAATTGTAACTTGTATAAAATTATTTCAATATGTTTGTGCTATTTTTTTTTTTAATTTTATAGTTTTTTAGTTTCATAGTTTTTTTTCATCCTCCGCCCTAAAATATTGTAAGTATTCCTACAATGCTACTACATTTGGAGCCATGCCATTATCACTTGTGGCATTGATGTCTAGAGTAATTAAGGCCAATACCACAATTGTGCTAATGCTTTGGATGTAATTCTAATATCTTTATATAGTTGCACCTTGGTTTTGTAGCCAATACTTATAGGGAGTTTTTACATAGATTGATATAACTAAGATAATATAAATCACATTGAAGTCAAACAAATATATGCACCTTCTCCAATTTTGTTGATCTGTCAAGCTCTTTAGAAAGAATTGCTATTGCAATACAATGTATTATGATGTAGGTAATATTGTTTTCCTTTTTATTTGATAAGAATCTAGGATATTAAGACAAGTAATGGTTGGAATTTTAGCTGCATGGATAATAATGACATTTGAAGTGTTTGCATTTGCTTTGACTCATTTTGGTGGTAATGGTGCTACTATTATCACTAAAGAGGCCAATGTCCTTCTTGAATAAGCAAACAAATTGATTGAGAATAATTTCCCTCATAGATTTGGAGAAAAATTGAAGAATGTATGATCAATAAGCAAGTAATATTTCATATAATTATTATTTTTTATATTCTTTAATATATATATACATATAGTAAAAGGTCTTTAGTCTAGATTTTAAATTATTACTAAAAAATATATGATTGTAAAAGAGATGTTGACGTTTAGAAATGATTCTACATAGCCAAATTTGCAGCCTCTTCAAACATAGAAGACATTGTAAACATAATAGTGAAGAGTGTCAAGGACAACCTAAATAAGACCAAGATAAGATTTGTTGACCTTATGAAAAAGGACAATAGCAAGGGGCAATCCCTCTAGTACTTTCAATCAAGCCATAACAAGGAACTAAGGTTATCAAAATATTGAACAATTTTTATGTTGGTGAATTAATTCAATAATCTTTTCAATTTACTATCTTAAGTTTTACACTACTTTTTTTGGATTATTAGCAATGGTACTCATGTAGATTATATTAGAATTATGTAGCTTGATAGCATTGTAAAATGCTTTCATTGTAGTTCCCAAAACTAAGTGCCTTTATACCTACTTGATTACTTTGCTTTGTTTTTTTTGTTTTTTTTGTTTTTGTTTTTGTTTTGTTTTGTTTTGTTTTGTTTTTTTTTCCCCTCTCCTTCAAATAAAAAAGACAAATCTTTTATACACATCTTCTTTCTTGCAGCCATGACCCTCTCTTGATATGGATTGTTATTGGTGTAATAATAGTAGTAGTAGCAATGGTGGTTGCCATTGGTCAATTGCCTAATTCTACTTATGTTTATAACAAAATACAAGAACAAAATTGTATATTTGTGTGTGTTGGAGATTGAATGAAATGAGTAATAATAGTAGTAATATATCCATCCATATAGTATTAATATATTTTTTATATGTCCACATGGTGCATTTTGTTTCAATATGGTTTAAAGCACATTTGATTTTTTGCATATTTTTCATGACATTTGTACGAATTTAGCTAGTTTTAATATTAAAAAAATATATATATATATATATAATTAATTATAATAAAGAGTCAGAATTTATTTTTAAATGAGATTAATATGTATAATTATTTTTTAAAAAATCTAAGTAATATTCAATATGCATGCATATAAATATAGTTTGATTTTAAAAATCTCTATATTTTTTTTAATTGTATTTTCCCATAAAAATTATTCTTTATTATTCTTGGGTCATAATTAAAATGTATTTTTGAAATATTCTAAATCATCATTTCTGTAAAATATTTTCCAACTATAACATGATTTTTTGAGTACATTTTGGCATAAAATATGGCAAATGGCAAAAGATTCTCAAATATTTATTTGTTTTTTATTGAAGGTTTTTGAAGGATTTGCGTTTTAAAGAATTTAATATAAAGAGATAATATTCTTACCTAGGTACTTCAAGAAAAGTACATGTTTCATGATTTTATTTTCAAATGTCTACATATAGAATGCAACTCAATATTTTTAATAAACATATGAATCAATTTAATTTTCACCTACTTCGCAGTCATAAAATAGCTTGTATTATATACAGGTATATGACTAATAAAAAAAAACTGATGAACAATCTAATAAGATTTAAAGATATGAATTTATTATCTATTTCAAAACAAAACAATCATCAAATATTAGCTTGGGACATACAGTAACTACGATTGCAACTAAAAATGGTTTTACAACCGTGCTCAATAAATTATGAACTTCTATATTATTATTATTATTACTAATATTGCAATTAGTAATAATATTAGTATATATAATCCTTCAAGTCACAATATTCTAATGCAAATGTGCATGCATGAGTTTCGAGTGTGTGCCAAATTCACCCGAAAAAAATAAAAAAAATAGTTTTAATAAAATATATCTGACTATGTTTTGAAGGAGAATCAAAAGAACGACTTACAGCTGTGGTGAATAATCCAAAATTCTCTATTTCATTGACGAAGTCCAAAAATTATCATACCATATATCTGTTACAAAAAAAACAGTTTGGAAATAATTTAATGTTTTAATTTTCAATTTACCAGGAGAAATGAATAAAAATCACGCACTGATTATTGAACCAAAAACTACAACAACCAAAATTCTCATTAAAAGCAGTATCGGTGGGTTGTTGAGAGTGAATATACGTTACACAAATCCTACACCATTGAAGAGAATTCAATAGTTCGTGGATGCACTTCAGAGCTTTTGCACCACATCCAAAGAAGGTCTGACCCCCGCCATAATGCCACATGGCCACACTAAAAATAGATCCAGCTGTACACATATCGACAAAATAGCACACGTGGAAACGACCCACGTGGCTGACCCATCGATACCCGGGTAGGGACAGACCGCAACCGCAGCCCGGTCCTCTATCGAGATATGGATGTTGACGCGGCGGGGCGGGGACGGGGGAAGGGCTGGGTAGGCGGGGGGGGGGGGGTGGTTCGGGCTCGCCTTCATCATTCGTCTTCTTCTTCGTCACTGTGCTCTGCTCTGAGTTTTTCTTTATCCTAGAGGAGTCTGTCTGTTTGTTGTCTATCCAACGCTGGTTGCCAGCCAGGTTGTCGCCATGCCATGCTCCATTGTTGGATTTATCCTCCGCCAGCGCGCACCCGTTGGATCACCTTCGCTCTCAGTTTAGACCTCCCTTTTTTCATATGACCTTTTGCCTTTATTTGGAGTCACGTCCGAGCTTCTGCTCCTGCCTCCTCTTTCGAATTTGCGCCGCTTGTGATCGCTTCCCCTGCTGCACTGTGGATGTCCTCTCCGCTGTTTCGTTGTGTTCTGTCAGGGCGCCGATAGGCGTCGTCTTGCGGAACGGTTTTACGACAAGCGAGTTCGTTCGGAAGTCGGAGCCGTGGAGGAGCTGAAAGCCGTGGTTGACATTCTTGCGACTTAGATCCGGGATAGTCGAGGCTTCGCGAGGTAATGCCATTGATAGCTGCCGTGCATTTTTTAAACATTGTCGGTGTTGATGTAGTTATTCAAGTTTTCGTTACTGGATCATCGTGGCTGTTGTTTGTTTGTTTTTTTGCTTGTATTTGATTTTATTTTGTATTGTAAGAAGAATGTATTGTAAGAAGTGGTCGGGGAGTGTGCGCTGTGGTATTTGATGGTTTTGGAGGCCCCAAAGCAAGCAGCACTGTAGTCCTTGCCACTATTGATCAGTGCCTTCGATCAAAGTCGCTTCGAATGACTTTGTTGCGCAGCTAATAATGACGAGCGTTAATGCTGTTTCGGTCTGAAGTCTTTAGATCTACGTTTATAATTATTGGTTTGCTCCTTTGTAGCATGGCCTCGTGAAGAATGACTTGTTACTTATTGAAAGTACCACAGAGAGGCAGGGTCTGCACTCCCCTGTGCGCTTCCTATCCACCGTCTACATGTGCAATGGAACCTTGAGGAGACCAGTGTACACTTCTAAAGTGTCACGTAGTTCATATGCTAAGCGTATTTCTTGTTTAGACTGGAACAGCCATGAAGTCATGAATTGATTTCATCCTCTGCCTCGAACCTTTAACAAAGGTTCATTAACTATCTAAGTAGGTCAGGATGAATCCCAGCAAGTACTTGAATCTGTTTTCTTCTGTGTAAGTGGGTTTACCGTGAATAGTATATCTTCTTGATAATTTTTATGTTTAACGTGTTACATGCTTCAGGATATCTCGTTCGAAACGTGTATTTGGAAGCCTTTGAGTCTTAGTCGTCGTAGTAGATAATGTGAGGTCAGCTGGCTGATTTTCACGAAAGTCATCATCTTCTTCATCTGTTCGGAGACCTCAATGAATCCTAGATCTCGTGCAAGGCTCTTTGTAAGTGGAATGCGGAACTTTTTGTTTGAAGTCCGGAAAATGAAGTTGCCTGGTTCATCTTTGCAGATAAACGAGGGGAGGATTCGTGCAAGTAGCAGAAGATTATGGGTCGCACAATAGACGTTCCTGAAGACACATTGCAGGAGTCCGAAACATCCAACGTAGTGTTAGAGCTTTTGAAACAGGCTGGAGGATGTGTGGTGACTGATGGAGGTTTTGCAACTCAATTGGAACGTCACGGTGCAAATATTAACGATCCTCTGTGGAGCGCGGTCTGCCTTATCACTATGCCAGACCTTATCCGCAAGGTATTCGTACAGTCCATCGTAAAGTATTTGTTCTGTCTGCTTTACAGACAATTTAAGGGGAATAATACATGGATATGGGGCTCTCATTTTGCATTGGAAGAGGCTAGCACCGGCATTTTTCTGATGACATTTCATAGTTTCAGCTTTAGCAGAATTGAGCCAGCAGTGTCGTGCTTCTTTAGGACAGTTGCTATGCTTGTCTGTGCTTTTTAACAGTGGACGTGCATGGCATGCATTGTTTGTGGGAAGGGTTCCTTGATGAAGGACTTGTAACGTATTTATGCGTTTCTCATAACTTTTTAGCATCTTTATTCGTGGAACTAAATTAAGCCTGAAGTTTATGTTTTCCTCGCCAAAAATACTCGTACCTTACTATAAAATCTTATCTTAGCTGTCTACGTTTACATGACCAAGTACAGAAGATTCCAGTTCTGAAATCATTTTACTCAAGTCCTATATAATTCTTTCGTACAAGTGAAACTCATCATATTATTTATCTTCGTGTTGTGGATATCAGGTGCATAGGGAGTATTTGGAAGCAGGAGCTGCAGTAATATCAACAGCTTCTTATCAGGTTATCATCCGACACTAGCTTTTTTTAGTCACCAGTTCATCTAGTGGAGTAGGAAGTTTATGCGACGTCTTTTTCAAAGGTGACAATTTACACAGCTTGTCGTATTAATCTACGCCAAACTGATTGTATCTGGCATTTTTTTTTTTTAAATTGCCTAAAACCTTGCTCAAGTCATACCTGTTTTTCAATATGTTATTTGATATCTAAACAGCCTTTCTTTTAAAAATGTCAGTAACACTTTCGTAGTTGTTGGTACTATTGACAGGCAACAATTCAGGGTTTTGAAATGCGAGGCTTGTCAACGAAAGATTCAGAAGATTTGCTTCAGCTGAGTGTCCGTATTGCTCGTGAGGAGCGTGACCGATTTTGGAAAGAGTATCAAAATAAAGTGCATACAGGACCTGGTCAAGCGGGTTCATACCATCATGCTCTTGTTGCTGCATCCATTGGTAGCTATGGAGCTTATTTAGCTGATGGTTCTGAGTATAGGTATGCTACTGCTGCTCCACGTTTAATTTCTTATTAGAGAAGATATTTGGAAAGGAACTGTTAACTACTCAAATTCAAGACTTGATCTGCCCATTGTTGAGGAGTACTGTCTTGAAACTGTTTAGAGTAACCAATCTTAATTTTTGCATGCTGTGTTACAAGGATACTTCATTTATTCAAGAATGTCTTATAGTTCATCTAGCAGGTGCAGAAGACTTCTAGGCTTGAAAATTGTGAGACGCGTCAGTTTTTCGCAACCAGGTGCTGCTATGCTTGGTGTTGTGTGCTGAGTCTTCTGACTTCTAAGTTATACTCTTTGGATTACTTGCAGCGGAGATTATGGCTCATTCGTCACAGTTGAAAAGTTAAAGAACTTCCATCGTCGCCGCCTACTGGTGCTTGCTGATGCAGGACCTGATCTATTGGCATTTGAAACCATTCCGTGCAAGTTGGAAATTCAGGTTAGTTCCATTTGGCAAGCAGAGGTTGACATTATACAAGTGATTTTCGTTGGATTTATTTGGTCGATTTTATTGCAGAAAATTATATATATATTTATTGTAACAGCTTTAGAAATGTTCATTAGCATCTGATTGTCCTATTGAAGGAAACTTAGAATTCGCAACTGTTTTGAAAGCTCAAAAGAAGCTGTGCATTGTGAGGGTTTTCTTCGAAGATTCCTCATTCCAAGGATCAATCACAGTTCAATTGGTTACAAGAGCGGACTGTTTATGTCAAGTTATTTGATGATGTATTGGATTTTACGCTCAGGAAGTGGGTGAATGTTTCTTACTGGTGCATCATTATCATGTGCAGGCTCTAGTCGAGCTGTTAGATGAAGAAAAAATACGGATTCCAGCTTGGGTAGCATTAAATTCAAAAGATGGCGTGAATGTAGTGAACGGGGATTCACTGACTGATTGTGTTGGCTTGTTAGACAACTGCACCAAAGTAGTAGCAGTAGGCATTAACTGCACCCCTCCTCGCTTTATTCTGGACCTTATCCGTGTGGCACGAAAGGTACTCATTCGAAATCTACCGGGCTTTATGGTTATTCAATCAGTACGTCACAAATAATAATTCAAGGGGTATTTTCTTGGTTATCTAGTCAACCTTAGTAGCATATCCATGTGCAGTATTCACAATCATTTCAAGAATTTCTACTCAAGTGTGAATGCTATGATGTGTTGTCGGGTAACGAAACAGGTGACAAGCAAGCCCATTATGGTCTATCCGAATAGTGGAGAGCATTATGACGCCGTAATAAAGCAGTGGGTGGTATGTGTCTACCCCTCTATACCCTCCCGTTCGTCTGTCATTTTCGCAGTCTAATATTTGGGATTAATTTTCATGTTAAAATTTCTTTGCGTGCATCCCACGATGAATCGGTGATTATTCAAGTGAAAATTACCCTAGTCGATTTTTATTTTCTACTTAATAGTTCTTTTGATGTCGAATATCAAGTCTTGTTCTGGTTATTTATAATATTTTAACAGAGAATTACTTAGTCTTCAACTGTAGTCGTGATCGCAATTTATTTTTCATTGGAGAGTATACGGATTCCAAATTGAACTCTTATTATCAACATTGGAGTGGTAGAGTATACATTTACTTCCCTGGAAATATTTGTCTGATGGAATTCGTTTGTTGAAGCCAACAATGAGCTCCGAAAATTTCGAGCCACTGGTTCTGACGACATGACTTGTAAATGCTTTTTAACCGCCTTATTAATGTAAGTGTTCTCCTTAAGGCATTTGGAGGGAAGGTTCTTAAGTTTTTCAAGTGTCTTATGGTTCGCTTATGTTTGCATTTCCTGCAGGAATGTAAAGGATCTACAGACACAGACTTTGTCTCACATGTGCAAGAGTGGCGCAAGGCAGGAGCTCAGCTTATTGGCGGGTGCTGCAGGACTACTCCCAATACTATAAGAGCCATTTCCAGAGTCCTGTATGAACACACTCAAGTGTACGCCGCTAAGTAGTCTGCATGCTTACCAAATCCGTCTTGGTTTTCTGCTAATACAACACTCTTCAAGCACATGTAGCTGTTCTTTATTTTCGAAAACTACTGCCATGTGGTTTGCAGTTCGACGCATAGTTTTGTAAACTATGCTCCACCAGAAGAATTCAAGACATTATCTTTTTACGAACTTGATTTGCTAGTTTGCAAATTGAGTCAAGATTGCCAAATTTCGGCAGTTGAATACTATTCTATTGTCCTGCAGCAAGTTACTTGATCTGCTTAGAATGTTTTAGTTTCCCCTTAGAGGTATGGTGCGACAGACCTTGCTTGAGAAGGGACAATGTTGTCATCAAAGCAACTCCTACATTGCTTCAGGATAGCTTTGGAGGTCGTGAATTTTTTCGCACTCCATATTAGCCAGGGTAATCATTTGATTCATTATATGGTCACAATTTATGCCCCCATCTTATTTTTAGGATAAGATTCAATCAGCTGGACGTGTACCTTCAAGAGCTGGGCCTCCATAAACGATTCTACGAACCGGACAATTTCTTTCGTAAATCTGAATTTTTTTAGTTGTACTTATCTGGCCTTGAAATCGATTCAGGTTATTTAAATCTGGGGTTGTTTACATGGCGTAATCTTTATCAGCCTATTCTGTCATGCTGTAGATTTTCGAAGAAGTGTGGAGCACTTCTGGAAATACCTTAACCAGATGAAACATGCATTGAACGGAACACACCTAGTGGACATCTGTGTGAAGAGTGAAACCCTGAATACTGGAAGTCTACAACAGGTAGGACCTCAGTTACAAATTACAAGTTATCTTCATGATTGCTTCTGAAACTCTTTGTGTTCGGCACATCGATACCACCAAAGTCACCGCTGGAGGATTGAAGGGGGGGAGGGATGATGTAGGCTGAAGCAGCAGTGCTAGGGCAGGTGCTACGCTTTGAGACACACATCAAGATTGATGCATTGTTCTGAAATTGGCATACAGAACCACACTAGACTATGCGTTCTAGAAGCAAGAGCTTGTGTTTGAAAGTTGTTTTGCTGAAATTTTATTTTTCACTTTTTTACATTTTTTTGTTAATGCTTATCTAATCCTAAATTGCATAATGGAACCCCTTGACAGTGTGCAATTGCTTGGCAACAACGATACAAAGGGGACGGAAGCATGGACATATGTGCAAAGCACTACTACAGGTAGAAGGTGTTAAGTAATGGACTTAGTGCAATTGAGAGGCATGGCACAAGCTCCTTTGTCACCCCATTATACCAAGTGCAAGTAGATTCATTCCAAAATGTGCAATGACTCTTTATTTGAAAGCACTAGATTGTACCAATCTTTGGATTGAATCTATCAAAGATTTGCCAATATATTTTGTTTTAGAAAAATACTACCTAATTGCTTACTTTACAAAGAAGATGGATGGCATTGTGGAGAAAGAACAATAGATAGCAAAACTTGAAAATATCATTCAAACTTGTATCATGTCAAGTCTCTTAACACAGTTAGCTCATATAGTATAATTACTCTAATAGAATTTGCATATCTAAACTTTATATTGCCACACTTTATTTTTTTTATTTTTTTTATTTTTATTTTTTTTGTCTATTTAGATTAAATCTAGCTTGAAGGTTATTATTTAATATTATTTAAACCAATTTTTTTCTTTTTTTATTCAATTAAATAAAGATTAATTTCTATATCTTTTAAACTTCTTCACAATATCAAAGCCAAGTAATATTCTCAAAGTAAGTACATGGAGCATCACAAGCACACTGAGTAGTCAATAGTACATATTGTCATGTGGTAACATGATTATATGGTGTAAAATAAAAATATGGATGTTATTATAGAAGAGCCTAGTAGAAAGATGTAGAAAAACTAGGATAAATGATAGGAAGATAATAAAAATTTAAGTCTTAATGGTGCTTTTTGTAGAAAGGATTTCAATTTACTTTGTAGGAGCATAAATATCTCAAATAAAAATAAATAAAATAAATAATTAATATCAACATATTAAAGAGAGAATTTATAATAAATTTAAGTAAAAAATACATCAAATTACTAAGAATTGATTCCAGAGAGGACTCGTTGTGAACGAGGATCAAAATCAGACCCTGAGGTACAAAACCATGCACCTACGACAACTCTAGGATTCTTTTGTTAATTGAAGAGTAGAATTACAAAGCAAACTTATGAAAAGATTTTTGAGAGTTGATTTCATGTCATTTGGATTAATATTGAGGTTTTGAAAGATTTTCAAAGTTAGTGATGTACTTAGTGAGTTTAGATTTTGAGAAATAAAAATAAGTTTATAAAATTGAGGATTTTGTGAGTTTCATAGCATATCTAGAAGTTAAAATTTGGTAATTTTTCTTTATGCTTGTTGTAAATGTGTGAAAAATTTGAAGTCAAATAAGCAGTTAGATTGAAGAATATGAGAGTTTTTGTAGATTATAGTCTCAAATAATTCAAATTTAGGATTAATAAGGGATTTTATAATTTGGCAATATTTGCCAATTTGATTGAAACAAAAATTGATAAGAGGAATTTAGGCTTGAATACCTACACGCAACTTGAAATTTGAAGTAATTGAATGGTTCAACAAGGAGAAATCTTAGGATTGGTCTATTATTTAGGATTTGTTTAAGTTTTAGGATTTTTCTAGGATTTCATTAGGATTTTATTAGGATTTTATTAAGATTTGACCAAAGATTTGGTTAAGGTTCATTAGGATTTTAATTAGAATTAAATTAGAATTAAATTAGAACTTATTTAGATTTTTTTATTTTTAGTATTTCTTTAAGATTCTTTATTATTTCTTTGAAAGTTTTTATTTTTAGTATTTTTTAAAGTTTATTATTATTTCTTTAAGATTTTTTTTGTTTTATTTTGTTTTTTGTTTTTTGAAATTAATTTATGACTTCTTTGTATTTCTTTTGTAACTTCTTTAAATTTACTTTGGATTGATTAAAGTTTGATTAGGATTATTAAAGATTACTTAAAGTTAATTTAAGACTCTATTAGTCTTGATAGGATTGTTATTGCATTTTTACTTACCTTCCTTAACTAGGTGCTTGGTGCATTTTCAAGTAAGAATACATGTAGTATAACAATATATAAAAAGCTTGATGATTATTACCCTCTGAATATTATCATGTAAAAAAATAAAATGACAAGATGGAAATTCTTGATATTGTGATTATTAAAAATAAAATGCTAGCATCTCTAACAAACTACAAGTTGTGGAAAACCACAATAGAGCACGTCTTCAAAAAAGAAGATTTATGGAATTGCATCAAGACCATTGACAACAAAGAAAAAAAACCATAAGTGGCAATACATCAACAACTAACAACTTGAAAGAATGTAAAGCAAATAAATAAGGCAAATAAACAACTATCAAAAGAATCCACATTTGAGCAATATATCAAGAATTAGAAATTTTATGTAAGAAAAAACAAAAGAGCTTTAGATATCTTTAAGTTATTGTTAATAGAGGAACTATGAGACTTCATTTCTAATTTAAAGGAATCTAAAGTAACATGAAACAAATTTGAAGACTTGTACCAAATCAGCACACTAGTTGATATTATGGTGCTTTATAATAAGTAATATGTGGTTGATATGGAAGACAATATGTACGTATATATATTCATGCAATTCATCTACAAATTGATAAAAGAATTACAAAGAGCATGATATTAGATCAACGATGCTACAACAATATATGAAATTCTTACCTACCTTTTATTTAAATTTGATCAATTGATTTGAGTAATTCAAAATAAAAAATAATATTATTTATTTTTAAATTATTTTATCAACTATATCTCAAAAAAACTAAATTTAAACTTTAGCAAGATTCTTTACATGAAAAAGCCTTGGTTATGCAAATTTGGAATATTATTTAACAAGGGCATTTCTTGAATCAAAAAAGAGGAATATAAAACCACTACCAGAAATGATTTGATGGATATTAATCCAATTCCAACTTATGCCCTAATCAAGTGGTATGTTATTACTTGAGAGAAGTACGATACATTGTGGTAGTTTTTACTATTTCAACACTGTTGCCTTCAAATTTCTATAGAATACAAAGAAGATACTTCAAAGAAGAGCTAAAAAAGCACACTTTATAAATAAAGTTTCAAATCATAGCCTACCATCCTTTACAAATATATCCAATGAAGAGATTGAAGCAATTCTTGCTATTCTATTAATTTACACATCTTAAGTTCAAGATTGGATACTTGACTCAAAAGCATTACAATACTTTGTAAGTGATTCAAAATTATTCTTTTAAAATAAAAGAAAATAATATCCAAGGTGTTATAACATTGGCTTTAGGCCAAGATTATGTCATTTAAGGAATGAGAAGTATTAAACTTCTTATATCTAATATTGAAATAAAAACCATCACAAATATTTGCTATATTTTAAGATTCAATAAAAATATATTATCAATTAGTCAAATGAATAATTTTAAAAATCTTGTATTATTTATAAATTCTATATATTTACTTCTTATATTACAAAAACCATACAAGACCAAAATAATAGGAAGTAGAAATCCAAGATGTAGACTTTGCAAGCTATTATTTTTTATCAAAAGCTTTGAGGTTTATAACATAGAAGCATCGTTTTTTCCAAAGAACAAGTCACCAATGAATTTCTTTATTAGATTCAAAGATCATTTAAAAATCTTAAGTGAACCACTAGTCTATATGCCTATAAAAGAACCATTACACAAATAAAAAGAATTTGCTTGGCTTTAACATTCAAGATTAGGACACATTAATTATTGCAACCTATAACAATTAAGTAGAGAAAAAGTTGGGATATCAGAATTGCTACTTATTAATAATGTATGTAAAGCATGTTAGGTTAGAAAACATATTCAAATAAAAATTTAGAAACATGCAAAATATCAAGCTTCAAAGCTTTTAGAGATCATATACTCTAATTTGTGCAAATCAATGCCAAAGCCATGTATTGAAAGAGCAAATTATTTTTTCACATTCACAAATGACTACATGCAAAAAATATTTATTTATTTATTTTAAGTAAAAAATCAAACTTTTGTAAAATTTTAAGTTTTTAAAAAGCATATAAAGAATCAAACATACTTAAAATTTTTACTTTCAAATAAAACAATGGAAGTGAATATACTTCTTTAGAATTCACTAGATTTTGAAAGGACAATAGTATCCATAAGCAGCTCTCTATTTCTCAAATTTTATAATAAAACAAAGTTTTGGAGAAGAAGAATAAGAAAATTTTGAATTAAATGCAAAGTTATCAAGGACTTAAACCTCAAACAAATAAAAAGTCAATATATTCTTGTGTCACTCAAAAAAAATAGATATTCATTTAAAACTAATATAATATTAAAACTAGAATGACTATTATTAAAGACAAAAAGCCTAAAAAGTATTGAAATAAGACTAGAAATTAAAAAGGCATTGAGAAGAATGAAAAAAGATTCACTTTTGTCTCTATATATACTATCTAATTAAAAGTTATGTGGCAACATTCTATAAGACCTTTAACACGTGTCTAACTTACAAGATACATGTTTAACTTATAAAACAAGTTTTTCATATGTGTACTACATA